AAAGAATACAGAAAGTATATTTACTGAATGCTAAAAAGATAATAATGAAAACTCGTGACTCTCCAGAGTCCTGACACAGCTTGGTCCTGATTGGCCAAAGAGTGAAAACAACTCCCAGCAGAATCCAATGGAACAATCACCTGTGGGTAAACAATCTCCAAACACATTCCACATGAGCACAACACAGGAGAAGCAAATGAGATTAAAATTGTTTTCCTTTTCTCTGAGACCTGTCAGCTTCCCAGGAGAAAAATCCTGGGTGAAAGGATTTTTTCAGAGAATGTGAATGCCTCAGTCCCAAGACAAAGGGATTTCTCTGAGCAAAGCCTCCCCCTGATCCCAGTTCCATGGACACACTGCTGAACATCCTTCTTTTCCCAGGGCAGAACAGGTGACCCAGGTCCTCGAGGGCTCCCAGGGCTGCCTGTAAGTGCAGAGCTGCACCTTGCTGGGCTGGGGGTTGTCCCACAGGGTGGGAATCTTATTGGAACCCTGTTTGCTGAGAATTTCAGATTTCTGGCCTTGCAGGGTGTTCCTGGCACAAGAGGGCTGGATGGCGTGTCCGGGAAGGCTGGTGCAGGTGGAGAAAGGGGCGCTCCTGGAGCACCTGGAGCTGCTGGCCCGCCTGGCTACCCGGTGAGTGCTGCTGGGAGCCCTCCCCTGAGCCTTCAGGAGGACAGGAATTGGGGGTTTTCCTGCAGCTGCACCTCTGGGGAGCTCCCTGAAGCACCTATAGGAAGGGAAGGAAAAGGGAAATGTTGCAGGGGGCTTGAGGAGCTGGAGCATGGATTCCCTTCCCATGGCCATGTGTGGTGTGTCAGGACATCCCAGACCCCCCTCAGGAGCTGCAAAGGCTCCTGAGCTCAGGCCAAGCCCCTCTGCTGATGTGGAGTGTTTGTTCTCAGGGCCAGGAAGGTCCGAATGGACGTGAAGGACCTGCAGGGATGAGAGGAGACAAGGTGAGCACAAAGGAGGGGATTTGGTTTCCCTGGGAGCTGCCCCAGAGCCTCGGGCTCACCCCACTGACCTCCCTGGGGCTGGAGGGCCAGCACTGCTCCCAGCTTGGCCCCATCGCTGTGGGGTGGGGATTTGCATCTCGGGGAGCTACAGAGACAGAGATCCACCACGGCTGCTTGTCCTGCCTTTGTGTCCTCTGCAGGGCGAGGTGGGAGATGCCGGGGCAGCCGGAGTCCGCGGGCTGGATGGGGAGCAGGTACAGCAGCTGGGAGCTGTGTGCCCACCCCAGTGGGGCTGCCCCAGCCTCCCCCTCCCCAGCTCCCTGCTCCAAGGATGGGAGCAGGTTGCTGGTCCTCAAACAAGCCAGAAGGTTAAAGCTGTGAGCTGTGCTAGGGCTGGGCTTTTCTCTCCTCCACAGGGACCACCAGGACCACCAGGAGCAGAGGGTCAGCTGGGACCCAAGGGTGAGCAGGTGGGTGCTGGGGGTGCTGCTGGGCTCACCCCACTCCTACAGGGTCACACAGGCACCTGAATCCATGGCAGGTGTTTGAAACCCCTCCCCAGCATCCTCATGTCTGGGGGTTGATGTTGTTGGGCATGGCAGGGGAGTCCTATAAGAAAACTGAGTTTTTCCAAGTGTGGTGGTGTTTGTGGGTCCCAGGATGAGGGAAGACATGAGAATCTTGACTCCATGTTTCAGAAGGCTGATATAATATTTTTATATTATATAATATGTAACATAAAAATATGGTAGATGAGATATAAAATATGATCAATGAGATATGAGAATATAATATAATATAATGTATTATTATATAATATATAATTTATATTATATTATGTAATTTATATTATATTATAATCTCATATCTCATCGATCATATTTTATCTCATCTATCATATTTTCTATATTCTATATTATGTATTATATTATATATATTATGTTATATATACTATATACTATATAATATATAATATATAATATATAATATATAATATATAATATATTGTATACTGTATTTTATATATTATGTATATATTATATATGCTATACTAAAACTATACTAAAGAAAGAGAAAGGAGACATCAGAAGGCTAGCAAGGAAGGGAATGAAATCATAATAAAATCTTGTGACTGCTCACAGCCTTGACACACGAGGCTGTCATTGGTCATCAAGTAAAAACAATTCACATGGTGGGTAAAGAATTCTCCAGATCACATTCCAAAGCAGCAAAACATGGAGAAGTTGAAGTTTTCCAGCCTCTCAGGAGAAAAGATCCTGGCAAAAGGATTTTTGAGAAAATACGTTTGTGACATTCTGGTATGGGAAATGATGGTGGGCAGGGCCAGGCTCAGCTGGAAAAGGCAGCCAGGAATCATCCTGGTCATCTTCATCCTGTCCAGGGAGAGGCAGGAACCCGTGGAGCTCCAGGCATCAGAGGGAGTCCTGGGGAGCCAGGGGACGAGGGGACAGAGGGGCCACCAGGACGGCCTGGGAAGCAAGGCAAGGAGGTACGTGTGGGGCTGTGCCCACAGGGAATGGGAATGGTGCTGCCTCTGGACCCTGCCTCTGCCATGGCTTTGCCCCACAGAGCCTGGATACTCCCTGGGGGTTGATGATTTGGGGTCCTCATGCTGGGCAAACTATGCTCAGTGTTTTGTCTCCCCTCACTTTTGGGGCAATGGGGTCACAGCTGGGGTGATCTCCCAGCACGAGAAATGAGGCCGTGCCTTACCCAGCATCAAAATCCCAGCCAGGGGAGGGTGGAGAAGCCCATGGAAATCAAAGCCCAGCTTTTAACCCACCCTGGGATGGGGCTGGGGAGGAGCTGCTGTGTCTGATGTGGGCATTTCTCCCCGGGCAGGGTGACACTGGTGACACTGGAGACCCGGGCGAGCCAGGACTGCGGGGACGGAAGGTGAGGGGTGTCTCTAACCCTGTCCCTCTTTGCAGCACCTCGGGAACAACCCTGGCCTGCTCAACCTCTGAGACCGTGTTCACAGGGGTCTTAGGATGAGGGAAGAGGCGAGGATCTGACTCTGTTTCGGAAGTTTTATGTTATTATTATATTCAGAAGTTATTATTTTATGATATATATTACATTAAAACTGTACTAAAAGAATAGAAGAAAGGATTTCATCAGAAGGCTAGCTAAGAATAGAAAAAGAAAGAATGATAACAAAGGTTTGTGGCTTCGACTCTTTGTCCAAGCCAGCTGACTGTGATTGGCCATTAATTAGAAACAACCACATGAGACCAATACAGATGCACCTGTTGCATTCCACAGCAGCAGGTAATCATTGTTTACATTTTGTTCCTGAGGCCTCTCAGCTTCTCAGGAGGAAAAATCCTAAGGAAATGATTTTTCATTTTTCATAAAAGATGTCTGTGACAAACCTCTGCTGCTCTATGGTGGGGACAGAGCAGGACAGGGGTGTCCCCAGGGTGACCTGCTCTCTGTGGGGTGACACAGCTCACCTGCATGCAGTAACTCATTTATTGCTGTTCCTTTTCCCTCTTTGTGGTGACACTTTCTCCATCCCTGAGCAGGGCAATACTGGCCCCAGGGGCCCTCCTGGGATTGCTGGTCCAGGAGCTGCCACAGGTGAAACTGGAGGCAAAGGGCAGAAGGGAGAGAAGGGCAGAGAAGGTTTACTGGCAAGTACAGCTGGGCCTGGGCTCCCTCACCCTCCAGTGTCCCCAAAGCCTGGCTGGGGCTGCCCAGGAGGGCACTCACCCCTGGTGGGAAACCTTGGGCTCTGGGAGCTGCAGAAAACCCTAGGAACTGTCAAATCTCCATAATTAGGGAGTTTCATGTCTCACAGGCATGACATCAAAATTGGGTGTTGCCGGCACAAAAGGGTGGTTTGGGTTTGTGGGGCACTTTGGGGCAATGCTGCCTCCAGGCAAACCCCAGCCCTGCCAGGCTGGGAACATGTCTGCCTCTGTGTGCCAGGGCCAGGGCGGGGTCACCGGAGCTGCAGGACCTGCCGGAGCCAGAGGATGGTTTGTAAGTCAGATCATGTCCCCTGTCCCTTTCCAACCTGTCCCAGACTAGGTGAGGGGACATTTGTGTGAGTGGGAATGCTGGGAGGGCCCATTTCTGTCACTGACCTGGTGAGGGGATGTTTGTGTGACTGGGAACACTGGGAGGGGACATTTGTGTGACTGGGAACACTGGGCAAGGCCCATCTCTGTCATGGGTCTGGTGAGGGACATTTGTGTGACTGGGAGCACTGGAAGGGCCCCATTTCTGTCACAGGCCTGCCAGGGGACATTGTGTGACTTAGGAGCACTGGGAGGGCCCATTTCTGTCACTGACCTGGTGAGGGGACATTTGTGTGACTGGGAGCACTGGGAGGGGACATTTGTGTGACTGGGAACACTGGGCAAGGCCCATCTCTGTCATGGGTCTGGTGAGGGACATTTGTGTGACTGGGAGCACTGGAAGGGCCCCATTTCTGTCACAGGCCTGCCAGGGGACATTGTGTGACTTAGGAGCACTGGGAGGGCCCATTTCTGTCCCAGACCTGCCAGGCAACATTGGTGTGACTGGGAGGACTGGGCAGTGCCCTGCCTCTGTCACAGGCCTGCCAGGGGACATTGTGGGACTGGCAGGGCTGGGTGACCCAGGCTCCTCTGCTTGTGCCCTGAACAGGGGGGGACAGGACTCCAAGGTCCTCCTGGGCTCGACGGTCCCGAGGGAGAGAAGGTACAGAGAGATGATGGCTCCAACCCTTCATCTCCGGGTGAAACTCCCTTTTCTGGCCTCTTCCCAAGCTTTCCCAGTGGGAATGTGCTGGCACTGGGAGTCCTGGGCAGGCTGGTGACAGGGGGGCCTGCCATGGGACACCCTGAGATCCAGAGCCAGCAAGGCAGGGAAGGGTTTTCCATGGACAGAGCTGTTTCCCCTCCTTTCCCAGGGAGATCCAGGGCCACGAGGTGTGGATGGACCAGCTGGGGCTGCAGGATTTGAGGTACTGATGCCTGGAATGTTGCAGAGCTGGGAATTGCCAAATTCCCCATTTCCAGTACAACCCAAAGGATTTATTGCCCCTTCACTGGCCAGGTTGGGGAGCTCAGAAATGAGGAGGGGGTATAACACCTCATACTCAGCACTGACTCCCAAAACCTTAAAACTCCCAGTACTTAAACTCCCAAAATCAGACCCTTTCCAGCATCCACTGGTACCTCATGGAAAACCTGTTCCTGCTGCTGAATCCTGGTCACTCCCACGTGGTTCCCAGTGCAGTCTTGGCCAGCTGAGCGTGGGATGTGGGACAGGATGCTCAAAATCCCCTCAGAGATGAAGGATACAGTGCTGAGGGGATTTTTCTGAACCCCCATGTCCCCACAGGGACAGGCTGGAGATGATGGAGCAAAGGGAGATGGTGGCAAGCCTGGCCCAGTGGTGAGTACCAGCTCTGCCCCCAGAAATTCCCTTGGGAAAGAGGTTTGGTGGCATTTTGGGATGTGTCTCACCCTGGGGGTGGCTGCAAAGTGAGCTCTGCCAGCCTGGCCATGCCTCCCAGCTCTGGGACTGAGTCACTGCTTCCTTGGATTTCCCACAGCAGAAGCTCCCAAAAGGAATTTTAATAGAGGTGTTAAGAAAGGAATTTTAATAGAGCTGTTAAAAGCCATGCCCAAGTGCCAGAGCTGTTGCACAGGTAACACTGGGCTGCTGCAATCTGCCTGAGGCAGTTCCAGGGCTGATTTCCCCTCCTTGGAGCAGATCCACAGGTGTCCTGTGGCTCCAGAAGCTGCCCAGTGCCCCAGGAGGGGCATTCTGGGCATGCAGAGAGTCCCAGATGTGTTCTTGATGCTCTGAGCTCAGCTGCAGGATAAATCCCACCTGCATCCCAGTTTTGCCACATTGCAGTGCCACTCTGCCCAGGCAAGACATGCCCTTATGAAATCCTAGAATTGGGTTGGAAGGGGCCTCAAAGCTCTTTGGATCCATCCCCTGCCATGGGCAGGGACACCTTCCACAGACCAGGTTTCTCCAAGCCTTTAGATTGGGTGATTTGCTGGGAGAGGTCAGGATCTGAAATAAATTCCAGGTGGAACAAACTGCAGGGGGTTTGCTGTGGAATAAACCCTGGGCAGATTTGCTGTGGAATAAACCCCAGGAGGATTTGCTGTGGAATACTCTGGGCATATTTGCTGTGGAATAAATTCCAGGGGGCTTGCTGTCGAATAAACTGCAGGGGTGTGGTGGCATTCACAGGGGTCCTGGGAAGAGGGAAGAGACAAGGATCTGGCTCCATGTTTCAGAAGGCTAATTTATTATTTTATGATATATATATATATATATATATATAATATTAAAACTATATTAAAATAATAGAAGAAAGGATTTCATCAGAAGGCTTGCAAGCAAAGGAAAAAGAATGGAATGATAACAAAATCTTGTGACTCGGAGAAAGTCCAAGCCAGCTGACTGTGATTGGCCATTAATTACAAACAACCACATAAGACCAATCACAGATGCACCTGTTGCATTCCACAGCAGAATATAATCAATGTTTACATTTTGTTCCTGAGGTCTCTCAGATTCTCAGGAGGAAAAATCCTGAGAAAGGATCCTTTTATGAAAGGATTTTTCATAAAAGATGTCTGTGACACAGGGGGGTTTGCTGTGGAATAAACTCTGGGGGATTTGCTGTGGAATAAACCCCAGAGTTTATTCCCCAGGGGTGTTTGCTGTGGAATAAACCCCAGGGGTGTTTTCTGTGGAATAAACTCCAGGGGGATTTACTGTGGAATAAACTGCAGGGGGGTTTGCTGTGGAATAAACTGCAGGGGGATTTGCTGTGGAATAAACTGCAGGGGGGTTTGCTGTGGAATAAACTGCAGTTTGATTTGCAAAGCTCAGTGCAGCTGCAGTCCCTCGGGGTGCAGCTGCTCGGGCCCTGCTGAGGACAGGGGTGAGCAGTGTCCCCCTCTCTGTGCCCTGCAGGGCTCACAGGGCGCTCGGGGCCTGGCAGGTGCCCCTGGGCTCCGGGGCTACGCCGGGCACGAGGGAGCCAGAGGAGTGCTGGGCACCAAGGGCCAGCCAGGCCGGCAGGTAACACCTCTGCTCCATGGGGACATCCCTGGCACAGCTCTCCCTGGGGACAACACCCCAGCTGTGCCCTCCCCTGCTGCCAGCCTCATGGTTTGTCCCCAAATGAACTCAGGGGACTCTCGGGCCACCGGGTGAAGCTGGAGCCACCGGGCTGAGCGGCACTGAGGTGAGCAGGCTCCTCTCTGCCCCATTCCCTGTCCCAGCTTTTCTAGCCTCCCACACCTGTGTCCCTCTCAGAAAAACCCAAATATCTGAATAACCCAAAGGTTTGGATTTGCCTTGAATTCTCTTTTCCTTCTTAGGGCCTGGTAGGTGCAAAAGGGGAGCCAGGAGAGCCAGGAAAGCCAGGACAAATGGTGAGGAGTGGGATGGAGCCAGTGGAATGGACAAATGGTGGGAGTGATGGTTCTCCCTGAGAGGCTGGAGGATGCTGGCATCTCCTGGAGGTGTAAAAGTCCAGTGCAGGCACCATTTCCTGCTCCTGCTGAACCCTCGCTGCTCCAGTGAGAGGGAAAATCCCAAAGGGAATATTGCAGCTTAGAGTATCTTCCTGAGCACACTGGGGCAAGGCAGGGAGGGAAGCCAGGAGGGGCATCCCTGGCACAGCATCCTCACAGAGGGGTTTCCTTCTCCTTTGGGATTTTAGGGGGCTCCTGGACAAGCTGGCCCTAAAGGACGGAAAGGCTGCAAAGGAGATAAGGTACCCCCAAAGTCCTCCCCTGGGGATGGCACCTGAGGGGTCTGCCCAGTGGGCATGGGGTGGGCAGGCCTGAGCTGGGGGGACCATGGAGAGCAAACAGTGGGAATTGCCCAGGAGGATCTGTTTTTCCCCACCTGGCAAGCACAGGATGCTTCTGGGCTGGTTTTGGGATGAGGGGCTGGCACATCTTGCCTCCAGCCTGGCTTGGGGGGCACAGGGGCCTCCCCAGCTCTTGGTGCCCATCTCCAGAATCCCCCAGTGCCTGCTGGGCTCTGTCCCCATCTCCTCTTGCCCAGTCCTGGGATGTGGCTGAGCTGTTGGAGAGCCACATCCCCCCTCTCCTCTTCTCCCAGGGCGATGCTGGCCAGGAAGGGGACAGAGGGGTCCCAGGAGAAGCTGGCAGACGGGTAAATGGCACTGCTGTTCCCACCAGGGTGGCAGGGAGCTGCTCCTTGGAGCCTCTGCAGGGTGGTCCCAGTTTTCTGGGGGTTCAGAATCCCTGGAGAGGGGATCCTGGAGGGGCAAGGTGTGGCTGGATCAGTTTGGAACTACCTGTGAGTCTTTCACCTGTGGTCCCCAGGGCAAGCGAGGCAAGATGGGCCAGCAGCCCCCACGGGGTCCCTGGGGACACAAGGTAGGTGGCTTTGTCAGGCTGCTCTGCCCCCCTGGCAGTTTGGGGGGTGCTCCCACCTGCCTGAGACCAGGGTTAGAAATGAATAAACCATAACTGAGGGCTCTGCACTCCCCCAGAGCCCCCCAGCCCAACAGGGGCATCACCCACAGCCCCCATGGGCTGCACTCCCTGCCCTGGAGCATCACCTGGGCACAGCCAGGGCTTCTCCCTTTGCATTTCAGGGCTACCCAGGTGACAAAGGACTTCCAGGACCCCAAGGCCCCCAGGGACTCTATGTGAGTATCAGTGTGGGGTTTTGGGGTGCTGGCTGTTCCCTGTTTGACCCCACTGTGTCAGCAAGGAGGGATCTGTTTAAAATGAGGGAATTTTTAAATGGTTCATCCATCTCCTCCTGTCTTCTCCTCCCAAATTAACTTCCCAGGAGGGTGTGTGCAGTCAGAGAAATCACATCATCCCCAAAATGTGGCTCTGGAGGCCAAATCCTTCTTTTACGTATGTGTCTGATGCCAGGCAGTGCTGAGCTCTGGTGGGACTGTGCCCACCTTCCCAGAGAGCTGTCACAGAGGGACAAACTGCAGCCAGAAAAAAGGACACAAATATTTCTTTTAATTACTAGAAATTGCTTTTTTCTCTGCTTAAAATTAAAAAAAAAAAAAAGCCCAACTGGCAACTTCACAAAATTCCCCAGGCTGGATATTCTCAGGGAGCCAAGGCACCTCCAGCGCATTTTTAATGGGCTTCGATGATGGATCCTCCTGAAAGCAAAAATCAAAGAAAAAATGAGAAAATGACTCAGAGTTTCTAAAACTGCCTGAAATCCTCAGGTGTGGGGAGGGCCCTCCTTGCCAGGGGCTGACAGGAGCAGCTCAGCCCAGGGTGAGGCAGTTCCATGTTTCTCTCTTAGGGCATCCCGGGGCTGAAGGGCATCAAAGGAGAACCTGGACCAAAAGGACACAAGGTAGGGGACACGTGCCAGGCACAGCAGGGACACTGGGCACAGGGTGGCATTGAATTTGATGAATGCCATCCCTTATTCCCCTCTTTTTGAACCCTGATGGCTGCACCATCTTTCTCTGGCAGTTGGCTGCCATGTCCCCAAGTGCTGGGAGATGGAACCTTTAGATTTTCTCCCAAATCCAGTCCTTTTGCAGCTTTTCCATCCTCCTGGATTTGCAAGCAGCAGTGTGGAGCTTTTAAATCCCTGCTCTCAGCATTGATGCTGATGTACCATGAGCTGAACCTCCCTTGTGCCATTCCTGATGGATCCTTGGCTGGAGAAACTGAGCACATCCCATCCCAGATCCCCTCCCGTTGTTCCCATCTCATCCTATCCCATTGATCCCATATCCCATCAATCCCACCCCATTGATCCCATCCTATCCCACTGATCCCATCCCATCGATCCCATTGATCCCACCCCATTGATCCCATCCCATTGATCCCATCCCATCCCATCCTATCCCATTGATCCCATTCTATCCCATTCCATTGATCCCATCCCATCCTGTCCCATTGATCCCATCCCATCCCAGGCAATAGGAAGCTGCTCTGAGCCTTCAGGAAAAGAAAACTTTGGGAATCATTAAAACTTTAAATTTATTGTCAGCTCAGTGAGCAGCTCCTGGGAGAGCACCCAGAGGGGAGGCTGTGCTGGGATTTTTCCCTGCTTCTGCTTTCAGCACACCAAGAATCTTCTTTATTCTCTCCAAGTGCTTCCTTGCAATTTCCAAGGTTTTCCTGAGAGATGTTTTAGTCTGGGATGATCCTTTCATCCCTGCTGCTGCCTCTGTCCCAGCAATGAGGGGACAGTGAATTATCTGGAACAATTCTCTGGTGTTTGGGGTTTTTGCTCCAGAAATTTTGCAGCCCAGCCATGAGTGGGAATTTCCCCATCCATGTTGGTGTCCTGGGGCTTCTGTCCTTCCCTTTGCCACCACAGCTCTCCCTGACTCTCTCCTAGGGTGAGAAGGGCAGCAGAGGTGACCTGGGCCAGCAAGGGGATGATGGCTTCAAGGTGTGTGACAAATTTTGCTCTTTTCCTTCCCCTCAATCCCTTGTCACCCTGTGTGACATCCTGCCACGTTTCCAGGGCAAGCCAGGACCCCACGGTGTCCCTGGAAGGCCAGGACCCAAGGGAAGGCAGGTAAAGGCAGGGTAGAGAGGGATTGTCAGGGACTGAAATGAGTATTTGGGGTGAATTCCTTGTTTTTCCATATAAAATCCAGCTGGGGAAGGGGCTGGGTTGTAGAAGGACGCGGGGCTGGGTTATAGAAGGATGCAGGGCTGGGGGATGTCCTGAGCTCTCTGTTGTCCCTGCAGGGTGACACTGGCCCCCCTGGCCCACAGGGACAGCCTGGAATTCCTGGGACACCGGTGAGTCCTTTTCCTCCTGCAGGTTTGGGGTTCACTCCTCACCCCACAGGGATGCAGCTTTGATCCCACTGCCTCCCTCTTATCCTGGTCCTGTCCTTTCCTTCCAGGGCTTGTCTGGACCCAAAGTAAGTGGTGGGGAGCAGCTGGAGGGGGATCAGTGGGATCCTTCCCCTCTTTCCCTCTCTGGGGGTGCAGCTCAGCACAGCAGCATCTCCCCCCTTCTTTCCTTCCCTTCTGCACCTCCTCCTCTGGCAGGGGCTGAGAGGCTTCCCAGGCCTGCCAGGCCCCAGGGGCACCCCAGGGATGCCGGTAAGCAGAGCCACAAACTCCCCCCAGCCCAAAATCTGGGTCACCCACTCCCCCAAACCTTGCAGTGAGGCTCTGCCATGCCATGCTGTCACTCCATGGGGATGCCCAGCTGCTGGCACTGTGGAGAAGCTGCTGAGGGGCTCGTGGGCAGCAGCCAGTGCCACCAGCACTGTCATTGTCCCCCAGGGTGTGGCTGGCCCCCCTGGTCCCAGCGGGCCTGCAGTGATGCTGTCCCAGGAGGAGCTGCAGGTGAGTGAGCCTTGCCCAGGAGGGAAGGTGTGGTGGTGTTCACAGGGGTCCCAGGATGAGGCAAGAGATGAGAAACGTGACTTTGTTTTAGAAGGTTGATTTATATTATATTATATTATATTATATTATATTATATTATATTATATATTATATTACTATATTAAAACTACACCAGAAACAGAAAAAAAATTTCATCAGAAAGTTGGCAGAAAAAGAATAAATTAATACTAAAATCTTGTGACTGATCAGAGAGTCTGAGACAGCTAGACTGTAATTAGTTATTAATTAAAAACAACCACATAAAACAAATGAAAGATGCACCTGTTGCATTCCACAGCAACAGATAATTATTGTTGGTTTTTTTCCTCTGAGGCTTCTCAGGAGGAAAGATCTTAATGAAAAGATTTTAAGATAATATGTCTGTGACAGGAAGGGGCTGCCAGGGATGCTCTCCCCATGTTCTGCTCCTTCTGAGGTCCCCTGTACACCAGGACCCAGAAAATCCAGCTACTCCCTCTGTCCCCATGCTTGTCCTTGTCCCCTCCATGTGCCATCCCTGATGATGCTCCTGGTGGGGGGATCTGTGGTCAGCTTGGTGATATCCCCTCCTTTTTCTTCCAGCACCTCATTTATTCCTCCAACCACCTGAATTACACCCTGGTCTGGGCTCTGCTGGACACCCTGAGCCGGGAGCTCCAAGCCCTCGTGGAGCATCCCAATGGCACCAAAACCCACCCAGCCACCACCTGCAAGGAGCTGCTGCTGGCTCACCCCGGCCTGCCCGATGGTACCGGGGCATGGGGGGCACCCCTGGGCCTGGCCTGGTCACCAGAGCCTGGGAAGGGACAGGCAGCTCTTTGAAATAAAGAAATTTTGGGGAATGAGGTCAGATGGGCTTTGTGGGCATCCCTGCAGAAACAGGCTGGCAGCCTGGGGTGGGATGGCACTGTGTGGCACCCTCCCTGTGCCAAACCTGGGTGCCAGGGCTGTCCTCTCCTCCCTCCAGGGCAATACTACATCGACCCCAACCAGGGCAGCCCCCAGGATGCACTGAGAGCCTTCTGCAACTTCACAGCTGGGGGGGAGACCTGCATTGCCCCCGTGCAAAACCAGGTATGGGGTGGATGGGGTGGCTTTTATGGGGCAGCTGCAGCCCCGAGGGACCCCTCAGCGTGGGTGGGGACAAGGGCTGGTGGGGCTGGAGAGGGACAGGGTGCCCAGTGCCTGGCTGTGGTGCCCAGTCCCTTGCTGTGGTGCCCAGTGCCTGGCTGTGGTGACCAGTCCCTGCTGTGGTGACAGTCTCTAGCTGTGGTGACAAATCCCTCACTGATGACCATTCCTTTGCTGTGGTGACAGTCCCTGGCTGTGGTGCCCAGTGCCTGGCTGTGGTGACCAGTCCCTTGCTGTAGTGACCAATCCCTGGCTGTGGTGACCAGTCCCTCGCTGTGGTGCCCAGTCCCTCGCTGTGGTGCCCAATCCCTTGCTGTGGTGCCCAGTGCCTGGCTGTGGTGACCAGTCCCTTGCTGTAGTGACCAATCCCTGGCTGGGGTGCGCAGTCCCTGTCTGTGGTGACAGCCCCTTGCTGTGGTGCCCTCTGTCCTGGCAGGGAGTGAGGATCCTGGTCCCGGTGTGTCTCAGACTGCAGGGACACACAGGAGCTCTGTGCTGGCTCCTTGTCCTGTCAGTGCCACTATCCCCTGCTGGGACAGTGTGACAATTGTCCCCTCTCCCCTCAGATCCCCATCAAGGCCTGGCTGAGCACCTACAGCTCTGAGAACACCTTTGAGTGGTTCAGCACCCTGCCTGGGGGCTTCCTGGTGAGTGCCCGGCTGGAACAGCCATGGGGGGACAGAGCTGGGTTGGGGTCTCCAAGTGCCACCTGCAGTACTGGGACAGTGTGGGAATTTGCAGGGGTCCCAGGATGAGGGAAGAGATGAGAATCTTGACTCCATATTTCACAAGGCTGA